GCCCTCAAATTAGGAACAACCTAAAGGGCTTATCATAGGCATACTAAAACTGGAGAGGGTAGATTTCTCACACATTTAATGCAAATGATTCAATGACATAAACAGCATAACAAACTGTTACATATACCATCTTTAATAAAACATAAGTAAAAAGGTTGAACCCCAACCTAGAGGGTCCCGCCCCGCCCCTAAAACATCATGGAGGAAGTAAATCGCGGGATGTGCCTCAACTGACTAAGGTACAAGAGTTGCTAAACTGGTGCCCACAAAGAGTCCAATTCCTAATCTTGTTAGAGGCAGAAATCGAACCATAATACTGTGGCTATCAGCTCAGCTGAAACTATCTCACTCTTGTCCTTTGCACCACTAAGCTATGCTTGGAGATGGCAACGGGGCGGGTTCAAGTCTCGCCCTGCTGCCGCCCCGTTTCCCGCCCCTTTTTTTTATTATTTTTTTTTTCAGTTAACTAATTTTTTATTTTTATTTTTGTCATTTGTAATTAATTTTTTTTTTCATTCTTCACGGGGCGGGACACCCCGCCCCATGACTTGAGATAGGGCGGCGATCCCCACCAACCCATCGGAGAGGTTTTTTTCGCCCTATCCGGAGCGGGGGCCGCCAGGACGGGGCGGGGTGGATTTCTTTGCCATGCCCCGGGGGCAACATAATGTGGATAGTTTGATAACAACATAAAATAAAATAATCCTTCCCACCTTCTAAGCCCCTGTTTGGCCTCATTATTTCAAATTATAATTTTTGGAATAATATATTTTTTTTTTTTTGGATAATGTGTGGTTGAAAAAGAAGGAATTTTTTTTTTATGGAAGATTGCGTGGTTTAAAATAAGAGAGAATAATAAATTTTTTGACTAGGATAAAGGCTTGACATAATTACATGTGAAAGTGAATGATTGGATGTAAAAATTGACTACGTTTTAAATTGTCCAATGATAGAATGTCACGTGTGATTGTGTAAATTTTGACGTTAATGTAGCATGATTCGCTTGTTTGGGATAATGGGGGCCAAAAGGGGTCTAACCTTGAGGTGAAATGAGGGTCTCATTGCAGATATATGCTCTCCGAATCTTGCAACTAGCAGCAGTAGTTTTCGGTGCAGAATCTCCATCCTTGTAAATGTCTACTTGTTCTATCCAATTAATGCTTGTATGAAGCATGATCTTACCATCCTCAAACAAATACAAGGGCTTGAAAACTTGTGCTACGTGCCGCCGAATCTCATTAACACGAATGCTAAGCATTTTCTTCATAACACCATATTCTTCTATCACCCATAGATCAAACGATGTGTCCGAGCCTATGGTGTACAGACAAAGCTTTCCCCCTAATACAGATACGTCGAATACAGTGTATTGATCTGAATACCTAGTTGGTGGTGATAGTTCAAACTTTTTAATTTTTTCTTCCTTTATATCAAATGAAGCGATCACAAGAGGTTCATAACATCCTGAATATCTGTGAATGTTTTCAATCCAATAGAATGCTCCGTTGTAGAAGTCGTAACTACCATGGAGGCTGAATTTCATGCCTGGGAGATCCAGAATTTTTCTCCAGGAGGAATCCCTTTTCAGTGAAATTAATTGGAACACGGTTCTAGCTCTGGCTGCACGATCGCCTATAATAGATTTGTGAATACTTAGGACTTTGTAGTCATCTGAGGATGAGTCGTAACCTAATGAACAAGCGATTCTATCGTTGGCTCGAGGACAATCTGGAAGTCTCCTCAATTCTCTGGTTGAAGGGTTCCATATGCAGACAATGCGTGCAATATCTTGAATGCAAAACAATCCGTTACAAGATCTGGAAACAGTCATATATCCCGAATGTTTAACTTTAATTGGATAAGCAAGTTCAATCACGCCCTCCTGATCATGATCATCGGATGATAAAGATGAAAGGGAGCATGAAAAAAGATGTTCTGGTCCATGTTGAAGATTAAAAATCAAGTCATGCCTTGTAGATTGATCGAGATGTTTCCTTTGGAATTGGGAATTTTGAGAAATCAAAGAGTAGAAGGATTTCGAAACACATTTAAAACGCACAAGAGATTTTACTGGAAGTCGGGAGAGTATTTCGATGGTGATATCCCATGGTAAGTTGGCTGCCATTGATGAACACAAGTTGCAGGTTTGGTTTCTTCCGATAATTAAGAATATATAGAACATAATGTTTGATTCCTTTCGAGATTTGGTAGAAGGATTGGATTAGGAAAATTGTGGTTGAGTAAGAGTCGAATACCGACGTATTCGATATTGAAATTCTTTATTCTTTATTTTTTGAATTTTTAAGGTAAATTAGTCAGATTTTTTTTTTTTTAATATATATTAAAAAATCGAGAATAGGATTTTTTATGATATTGATGTAAGACAATCATATTATAAATAGAATAGTAATTGATTATTTCTAATATGATTTTTTGTTGTAATACTGTATTCTTTCTTTTTCTTCATTTTTACTTAGAATAGGATTTTTTTTCTCTCTCTTTTAGATTATGATTTTGTTTTCTTTTAGAATCTTACGGTTTCCTCAACTAAGATTTTAATCGATTTTAAAAAATTATAAATCATAATGAATTTCTTCGATTTGAATAGATTTTTACAAATTTCATAAGAATCTCATCAGATATGATGAAATTTCAGAAGTTTTGGTTATATGTATTTTTAAGCTTGAAATATATTCAAATATTTTAAAATTCCTCTATTAATGAGATTTTTATAAAGCCACTAGTTATTGAGAATGTCTAAATTTTAACATATTTCATTGAAATCTATTAAAATGATTTTTAAAATCCATCACAATTTCAATTGAGAACACTTATATTAATGAAAATTCAAATATATTAGGAGTCCTTAATCATGTTATTCCCTCGACTTTTGATGACTTGTTGTCACTTAATGGCACCACTTAAGATTTAAGGTTAATGTTTTTTACCTAATTATCAGAAGTGTAAGTATAACTTCAATTATCATAAACGTAATTACGAATAACTTTAATATCTTAACGTATAGGGATTATACAACTCCCAAATTATTAAGCAACAACTATGTGCCTTCACACATCTTATGTTTGTAGCTTAATATGCCTCTAAAGTTTATCTCTTTGAGTGTACTCAATAAAAGATAAATATTAGTTAAGTCAAACACATCATTTAGAAATATCGAATATTTCATAGTGTCAAACATATCCAAAATAGACTAGCTTTGTGTAATGCTCCAAAATTCTTGAAATTCGAAGCATTACAAGAAAAATCCTCTTAGTTGTGGCTCTTTAATGTTAACCAAATTAATTTGTAAATAATAAAATATTGGATTTTGAAATATATAAAAATAGTTGAAGATATTTGTCCATATAGAGTTAGACAATTATGGTGCAATTTGATTTTGAAAAACATCTCGAGGAAATTCAGCAAATACCGATTGTGCAGCAGTGGAGAAAAAAAATATGTTTAACTTAGCAATCGTCGACTAAAATTTATAAAATTTTAACATAGACTATCAAACTCATATATGTACAATATATAAAAAAAATTGGGGTCTCGACGATAATGTTTGAAACACGAAAATATTTTTCAACTATGCTGAACATTATTTTGAAACTGACCCCACGTGGTCTACTAAAACGGACATAACTTTTTCTCTAGGTAATTAAATTTCATGCATAGTCAATCCAACACTTTTAAATTATAGTCGACATTCAATGTATATAAAAACTAGTCAGGATAAACAATTAAACATCTTAAAAATATCATCTAAGTGTTCGTAAGAGATTTACATAATTGAAAATTTGCTAAAAAGTTAAAGAGCATTTCAAATCGAAAAAATTAAATAATCATTTAATCAATTATTTAATTAATCAATTAATTTAATTTAATTATAGATTTTATTTAACTAAAATCAAATTATAATTAAATATCAAATTAGAAACCAACTCTAATTCTAATTGAATTAACATTTAAATTTAAGCCATAAGTGTACTAAATAAAATAAAATTCAATTTAAAGTCAAAGTTTAATATTTAATTTTAACGATAATATAAAAAATCGTCCATTCTAAATGGTCAAGATTGATTTTATTTTTATATTTTTTGGTCAAAACCCCTTTTAAAATCAAGTCCCAAAATAAATTTAATACTTGAATTCCAAACCATTGCAATCTACCCTTACTTTCAAATCATAAATAAGCCCTCAAATTTTTTAAAATTGCAAGCCCTAAATTTATAAATTTCACCATGACTCGTTAATCTGTAATTGCAGATTTGCATGACAGGCCCGCCCTCAAATCAGGAACAACCCAAAGGGCTTATCATAGGCATACTAAAACTGGAGAGTAGATTTTTCACACATTTAATGCAAAGGATTCAGTAACATAAAGAGCATAACAAACTGTTACATATACCTTCTTTAATAAAACATAAGTAAGGGGGATGAACCGCATCCTTAGCGGTCCCCACCTGCCCTGCCCTGGGCCTTGGTGAAGGAGGTAAATCGCAGGTTATGCCTCCAAGGATATAGGGTGGAAAGCTGCTTGTACACTTACACTTACCCAAGAGCCAAATCTATATTTCAGGATAAAACATAAGTATCTATTACAGAACGTGGATAGTTTGATAACAACAAAAAATAAAGAGTAATGCTACTTGCAGTCGCTCACTGCAGCAGTCGCCCTATGTGGCACACACATGACATGTAGTTATTTGATGCGTTAATGTGGATAACGTATGGTTGAAAAAAAAAAGAATTTTTTTTTTATTTACGTATAATATTATTTTATGAAAAATTGCGTGGTTTAAAATAAGAGAGAGTAATAATTTTTTTGGCTAGGATAAAGGCTTGACATAATTACATGTGAAAGTGAATGATTGGATGTGAAAGTGACTGTGTTTTAAATTGTCCAATGATAGAATGTCACGTGTGATTATGTAAATTAATTTTGACATTGATGTAGCATGATTCACTTGTTTGGGATAATGGGGGCCAAAAGGGGTCTAACCTTGAGGTGAAATGAGGGTCTCATTGTAGATATATGCTCTCAGAATCTTGCAACTAGCAGCAGTAGTTTTCGGTGCAGAATCTCCATCCTTGTAAATGTCTACTTGTTCTATCCTATTAATTCTTGTATGAAGCATGATCTTACCATCCTCAAACAAATACAAGGGCTTGAAAACTTGTGCTGCGTACCGCTGAATCTCATTAAGACGAATGCTAAGTATTTTCTTCATAACACCATATTCTTCTATCACCCATAGATCAAACGATGTGACCGAGCTTAGGCTGTACAGACAAAGCTTTCCCCCTAATACAGATACGTCGAATATAGTGTATTGATCTGAATACCTAGATGGTGGTGATAGTTCGATTTTTTTAATTTTTTCTTCCTTTATATCAAATGAAGAAATCACAAGAGGTCCATACCGTCGTGAATATATGAAAATGTTTTCAGTCCAATAGAATGCTCCGTTGTAGAAGTCGTAACTACCATAGAGGCTGAATTTCATGCCTGGGAGATCCAGAATTTTTCTCCAGGAGGAATCCCTTTTCAGTGAAATTAATTGGAACACAGTTCTGGCTCTGGCAGCACAATCGCCTATAATAGATTTGTGAATACTTAGGACTATGTAGTCATCTGAGGATGAGTCGTAACCTAATGAATAAGCGATTCTATCGTTGGTTCGAGGACAATCTGGAAGTCTCCTCAATTCTCTGGTTGATGGGTTCCATATGAAGACAATGCCTGCAATATCTTGAATGCAAAACAATCCGTTACAAGATCTGGAAACAGTCATATATTCCGAAAAGTTATCTTTAATTGGATAAGGAAGTTCAATCACGCCCTCCTGATCATGATCATCGGATGATAAATATGAAAGGGAGGATGAAAAAAGACGTTCTGGTCCATGTTCAAGATTAACAATCAAGTCATGCCTTGTAGATTGATCGAGATGTTTCCTTTTGAATTGGGAATCTTGAGAAATCAAAGAGTAGAAAGATTTCGAAACACATTTAAAACGCACAAGAGATTTTACTGGAAGTCGGGAGAGTATTTCGATGGTGATATCCCATGGTAAGTTGGCTGCCATTGATGAACACGAGTTGCAGGTTTGGTTTCTTCCGATAATTAAGAATATATAGAGCAGAACGTTTGATTCCTTTCGGGATTTGGTAGAAGGATTAATAGAATAGTAGTTGATTATTTCTAATATGATTTTTTGTTATAGTGTTTTCTCTCTTTTTCTTCCTTTTTACTTAAAATAGGAGTTTTTTTTCCTTTCTTGATTAGAATTGGAATTTTTTTTTCCTTTCTTTTAGATTATGATTTTGTTTTCTTTTAGAATCTTACGGGGTGTCCTCGACTAAAATTTTGATAAGTTTTAAAAAGATTATAAATCATAATGAATTTTGTGGATTTGAATAGATTTCTAAAAATTTCATAAGAATCTCATCGAATATGGTGAAATTTCAAAAAAAATTAGTTATATGTATTTTTAAGCTTGAAATCTATTCAAATCTTTTAAAATTCCTTAATTGGTAATTTTTTTATAAATCCATTAATTATTGAGAATGCCTAAATGTTAAAAGATTTCATTGAATTTTATTCTCAATTAGAGACACCTAAATTTTAACGTATTTTATTAAAATCTATTAAAATCCTAAATTTAGAATTATTTTTAAAATTCATCACAATTTCAATTGAGAACGCTTTTATTAATGAAATTTCAAATATATTAGGAGTGCTTGATCATGTTATTCCCTCGACTAATTTGGTGTAACAATAACGACTTTTGATGACTTGTTGGCACTTAATGGCACCACTTAAGATTTAGGGTTAATGTTTTTGACCTAATTATCAATAGTGTAAGTATAACTTCAATTATCATAAACGTAATTACGAATAACTTTAATATCTTAACGTATAGGGATTAATTTAATTGTTTGCTCTTGGTGAATTTCTTACCGGGTATTTTCACAAG